AATAATTAATGGTGAAACGTCGTGCTGAAGAATGCATCTGGTGGGATGATCGCCTCTCGCTTTGTGAGGTGACTGCGATTCAATGGTATAAGCAATAAAATCAGTTGCAGTTACACATGATTTCATGTAATAGGAAGGGATGTCTTGTATTGCTAGACCTTCTAGATCAGATCACCCTTTTATTCAAAGTGTAGTTTATTTACATTTTCACGAACGATAACTTTGCCAATAATGACGACTACTCTACCGGTCTTGTGCTTGTTTATGCTTGATTATAAAAGCGGGATTTGCTATATTGTTGGAATTCGACTCATGAGGTATTTCTAATGGGCCTAAATGTTTGTTAGGCGGGTCGCGTGAACAGCGGTGTCGGGTCATTATGTCATCGAAAATACTGGCAGAGGACCCGCGAGGCGCATCCAAATCGGTTTCGATGATCTTGACATCGTTTAAAATAAATGTGATACGCTTATGTAATTTGCGAGTTTAGTAATCGGATAATTATCCATTGTAGTCACAAAAGACAACATTCAGTAATGGTTCTGAAATTAGATGTAGTCTCCTGATAAAATTTTTCTGTTTTGTAGAATCTTACGGTGGAGTTCCTATACCAATTAAAAAAATATGTAATGGTTCAAGATAAACAATAACGATAAAGCTTATTTTACATTTTTTCAATTAACGTGATCTAATCGATTACATTAGAAATAGTGTTTTAAAAATCATCAACATGAAATTAATGTTTATTGTTCAAAATCGTGAAAGCAACTATTTTAAACACAGTTAGTGTATTTTGATTATAGTTTCAATATATTTAATGTGTTTAGATTATGATATACCGTGTTTATGAACAGTCGTAAATGTAAATTGAATAAAATGTAACAATCCCAGAAACAACAGATAGGAGAGCTACAATATAATTTCACTTAAAGTATGAATTATTATGCCACGATGTTCACTAAGTTTCCGTCTTTTCGGTTACATAACGGAGACGATGCGACTGGCATAATGTATATACCGCAGGCATATTTATACGGACTTTACTGACATATTATCATCGATTCAAAACCCATCGATGGCTATGTAGGTGACGAGCAGTACGCGATGGGAATTGATGCAGAAATGTATAAGGCTGTTGTACAGTTATCGCTCATTTACGTAACGTTATTTCGCTGGCGATGAGTTTGGTAACACAACTTGACAAATTATCGTTTTGAAGTATTGTCAGAACAGGAAACTTGTATATGACGAGTGATGGCTATATTTATCTCCGTTTGGCAAATGGAATTTCGAATTCGACTGTACGTGATTTTAATAGATACCACAATATAAAGCACACAGTTTTTTTTATTTTTTGTTTTTTTTTCTTATAAAGTACGGAACCGGTATAGAATAAACTTATCTTTAGACGCAAAGATTAAACATCGACACCCAGATCTTAAATAATGTCTTATGGGTGAAGAAAATGCTTGGTCGATGTGGGAGTCGATCTCCGACTAGCGAAGCCAAATCCTTTCGCTTAGCAATAGGACTTATATTTCCTAAAATAGTCTTACCAATTTCCCAACTACTTAATGATGCAGTGTGAGTTATTTAATAATTGTAATCCTCGATGATTAACTATATACAAATAGGTACTTTTAAATAAATTAACTTCAGGCAATTAATTTACGGGGTAAATTAAAACTATACTAATGAAAAGGTATGATATTGAGGCAGCAAGGCCATTGTATTTCAGCGATTTCTCCTTGACATGATTTATGCGGTCTTCATTTCTTTGTTACTAAGTAAAAGGAAACATTTTAAGTACTAAGAAAAAAAGTTAACTTATGGGTATTAATTTTTTGTTATTTCTCGAATTAATGACAGTAATTTTTTGATATCATTACTACCTATATTTACATTTCCGAAAAAACTGAGGTTCATTATAATTAAAATTTTCTGGAATCATTATAATTTTAAATTTGTACATTATCACAAATCCTATAACTTTTAACAATGTCACCTTATCAATACTTGTGACTTCTACGAATTTTCCGAGTTTAACAATATAAGAAAGATATACAAACTGTGTGATCCTTACAAGAGAGATAGATACATTATGGGCCTGTTAGAAATGTAAATGATAAAAAAATCCGGTTTAAATGAATATTCCGGTTTTGAAGACAAACCGATTGTCACGATTCTTATACCTTGCAAATTGTTGTTGCATCCTTGCGTTTATCGCGGAGAGTGTTCTGAGATGTTATTAAAATGAATACCTGATGCCGATTTTCACTATAGTACAGCGCGATGTAACATTACACAGCGTCGGTATCAATTTGGTGGTTGAGAGTTCTGCATAGTGTGTTTTTCACGAAACCTGCCACGCATGAACAGCTTGTGGAATCAATATTTGTCAGTGGTATACTCCAAAGTTACCAAACATATCTTTGTCAGCAAATAGCAAATGCTTCGAATAATATGTCGGAGATGAAATCGAAGAGGTGTTACATAAAAATCTGTAACCTTATAACATACGTTGCGTTTGCTCCCTGATAAATATAAATAGGTATTTTTCTTTGACATAAAAACTTGATGGAGGAGCATAGAATAATAGCGGAAAACTTCCAATTTTTATAGGGGCTTATCGGCGCCCATAAATGTGATATTGGCGTGATCATTCGACATTGTTAGTTGTGTCAGGTCTGATCTCAGTTTCAGTTTTCACCTGTCCATTTTTTTTTTGTTAGTTTTCTTAGAAAGCAACAAACTTATGCTATTTCCAGAGTAAATAGCGAAAAGTGACAAACATTTTACACACAATCTTTAATGTATTCAAATATTTATATCCCAAGGGTTATATAGCCGTGATAGCTCAGTGTCCGGGCGCTCGCCTTTAATTCAATATACTCGAGCAACCTGAGTTCGAACCCCGGTGCCGGAACCAATGAAGTTTTTAACTTTAAGTGCTGACTTACACGTGCTCCGCGGTGAAGGAAAACATCGTGAGGAAACCTGCATATTTTCGAAATAATAACAAAAAAAAATATTTTTCGAAGATATGTGAAGTCCGCCAATCCGCAGTGGGGCCGCATGGTGGACTATGCCCTGATACCCTCTGTATATAGGAGGCCTTTGCCCAGCAGTGGGACATGTATAGGCTGTTACTTATTACTTTACTAAGGGTTATGTAAAGTTAATAAAATTGCTTCCATGTCATATGTTCAAGCACGAGAGGATGACAATGTGGAATACATTTCTAGGGCCATGTTGTAGTAGTAGGTGAGGGAAACTGTTTGAAGTGTTCTCGTCAACTACGTCTTTTCACTGTAATTATTTCTTTTGTTGTAAAAAGAAATACTGAACAAGTATACTTACATACATATAAACATTATTGGTACGACCGTAACGGGAAGGTTTGTGGGCTGTTAATTAATAAAATACCGGTAGATTCCTACCGGTATTTTACCGAAGGTTATTTCGAGATGCTTATACCAGATAAACTCGAGATTCCTGTACCATTATAACAATTCATTCAACTATATAGCGGTATACACAAGCGCTTTGGATATGTTCTGCACTTCATTCTTGTTTCATTATGAACTCTATTACAGTTTCATAAGATCGAAATTAAATATTTTACTAAAATCAGGCTTACCTTGCCCAGTGCGGTGTTCGTGTTTCTCTAGGTCAGATGTTTTCATATGAAAACAAACCAACATAGGCACTTTAAAGCCACAACTGTCAAATACTGTTTTTTGTATTGATGTTAAACAAATATTTTGTTTCTTTGATTTTATTATAATTTTAATACGCCTGGAAATTCAAATAATCTTTTTATTTTCCTTTATGTGTCCTTTAAAATCATTTAACATACACCAGTTCGCGTGCCACCTTCTCACTTAAAAAGTAACGTTTCATATAAAAAAACCGACCAAGCGCGAATCGCGAACGAACTATTACGGTTTATGAGATTTTAAATTTTATCATATCTTTATGAATTCGTTGGTATGCAAATACCAACGAATTCATAAAGATATGAAGACAATTGTTATTAAAGCATGTATGTGCTTTAATAACAAATTGTCTGTTGTGTGTACACACACACACACACACACACACACACACACACACACATACCGTATTATAGGAACTTCATCATTCACAGATAGTTGCTTCTTAATTATATTTTTTTTATTTAAAATTTTTAATGTTATCTAACAGCAAATCCTTTTCGCACCCTTATGCATCTAATGCAATTAATATCCTAAATATATTTTTATTTTTAAGACTTATATTCAAATACGAATAAATGAACGTGTATGATGGAATAGTAGGCAATGACCAGTACATCATTCCCAAAAGACCCTTAGTATGATACTAATCAGTAGAAGACCTAATAAAGTAATTCTAATCATGAGATTGAAATCATTTGATGATAGAGATATCAATTTTTCTACCACGATGTGATTCTGCACACGATATTTTGTTCTATTCATAAATTCAATAAAATGAATGCTTCTAACATTAAGACATTACTATATCAGATCATTGGAAAGAGGTTGGCGGGAAGTTTGTTTACCGTTGTTAAAATCAAATTTCATTTTTTATTCTTTGAAGACGGTTCTAACTGGATAATGACATCTTTTCTCAGCAGGCTTCAAAGCCGTTATACGACTTTCACTATCTATGCGCTTACGAACATGTGACATAATGTATTATGCATTAATCGTAACTAAGTCCTTACACATAACACATATAAATCACAGGCCTTAGATAATTATTGTCACATCGAAGCTTACGTTAAGGCACATTATAACCATTAAAAAAATATTTAACATGCATGTGTCCTCTACTATTATAAACTATAATGATTTTTATTTCATCAGACTTGATGATCGTGAAATTTATTGTATTTAAATATTTTTAATATTCATTATGTATACTTTGACAGCGAATCATGGCTGGAAAAAATTTTATCGCCTTGAAGGAAAAAAGAAAAAGAAAATGTAACTCACCGATGAAATTCCTAGCGGCTACTGGCGACACGCACTCGTACGCAAAAAGAAAAAAAAATCTGGTATAATAACGGGAGCGTCTGTCGCGGTACACGGAGTGAGACTGGGGGATCGTCGCCGGCGCAGGTGAATGTGAGCGTCGTTCACTCTGTTCTTGCTCTGGCTAACCACATTTTTGTGTTTGCCTTGCAGTGCTCACATCGGGTATCTTCGAACCGGCTCCTTAAATCGGCAGGTGTGTAGCGGCATCGGTGTGCATTGAACTTTGCGGTGTATTTGAATGGACAATTGTCATGCGGCCGGCGTCCGCGACGCCTCTACCATTTTCATTCGACGCATGTACAGAACTTTGTCACAGAGATGCTAGCATATTTCCATTGTCAACCAAAGGGCGAATTATCGAATTTAGATAAACTCTTCTGCTCGGACCTGATTTTAAAGAAGGAGACAGGGCTGTTTCTAATATGATAAATACGATATTTTTATGATTTCAATCTAGAATAATCTTTAGATGTTTGAGAGCTTTATATGCATAAAATAAATGTTGTTCTAGACAATTAATGACATGAGTCAGACACAACAAAAATATATATGCGACAAACATATAACATCAAACACGTCATTCAGTTTTGAATCAGAAAGAGAATTAAACAATAACCTACCTAAAAGTTGAAACCTAGGACGACCAATAAAGTTCAAGGCTAACGTATAAATATACAAATAAATAGTCTTCATAGTAATCATAAACGAATGATTTAGTAGTAAGAATATTAGTGATTTAATCAGCAGTGAAGATGCTTATATAATTATGCCTGTATTTTACATAACTGTTTGTGAAGTCCGTGAAAGAGAAGCTTTTCTTGCTATTAATTACAATGAATTGGCTTCATTGTTTTTTTGCTTTTAAATTAAACTTGTGTTCCCAAGTATACGCATCTTTAAGAATCTGCCGGCCCAAGGCTGTCCAGTGACTGCTTGGTCAACAAGTTTTATTTTAATGCTATTCCGATCACAATGTTAATGTGGTGGGCAAATGTAAATTATTCCAGTGTTGAAATTTTTAACGTTACGATGACGCGTATCGGCGATTCTCTGATAACATTGTTGATATTTACCGTTGTATTTTTTAAGTAAAAATAAAAAGTTAGAAAGGTTTCCTTCCAAGCTTAGAAAGAACACAACTGAATACGCGTGATCCAAGATAAACACTTCGTAGATCAGATTGTCATGAACATTCTGTTTGTTTTAACGAACAGTTTGACCTGTGGAAGTTTCAGCGTGCTTCGTAGCATTTAGTAGACGAAAGATCTACCGTTATTAATAATAACGGAAGATTTGTCGTCTCACAATCTGCATAGATAAAAGAAAAAGATGACAGAGAGATAACTATCCGATTAAGGAGTCAAGAATGCCAGCCCGTATTATGAGGTGAATTCTTTAAAAAAAAATTGAATTTATATGCGACATTATTAATCCGTAAAGAAATCTAATCTAATCTATCCGTAAAGAAATATTAATCAACGTTAAGTAAATGTTATTAATCGTTTTGTCTTTGTCAAAATAAAAAAAAAATATTAAAAAAAAATTGAGAACATCTCATTTTCTTTACGTCTACGATGGAAATTATTTTTGCTTTTAAACCCTAAGTTTATCGCCTCCAATGTTCATTAAAGTAAAATTAGAATAATTATTCATAGTGCAATTACGCGGTACTTGTACATGAAGGCAGATGCATGTATTAAGATTATACCGCAGAAAACAAGCGTTTTCAAAAATATTTAAGTTTTACGTAGCGAAACAGGCGACAGGCAAACTGTTTCTTAACCCAAGTTTTTACTAGGTTCTAATTTAGGTTGTCTAATTAATTTGTGACGGTTTTCTGTGCTAGTGGCCAACGGCAGAAGGATCCTAAGTGTATAGTCGAACCGTAAGATGGTGGGTTTTCGGTTACTAGACTCTGCGTAAACACCGAGTGGTAAGTTTGACTAAGACAGGAGATTTTTGTTTTGTCAGTCTTTTTAAGCGATTTATATCTGTAGAACACCTCAATGTAATAATATTCAAGAGCTTTAAAGCAGACGGAAAACAAAAGCATGCTAGATCCTATTCTGGTGTGCAGGTGTACCAATGACAATGAAATGTAGAATGTGCCATTTAAGTATTGAATCATTCATTTCTTGCACGTCTGAGACCACCTCCTGTTTGTGCCATATCGGCTATTTTAATCGCTGTTGACGTAGCTAAAATAATTTGTCCATATGATATATCTTCTTCTATTTTAATAACTGTAAACATTTCTGACGTCTCATGCGGTTATAGTCTTTATTAATGTTGTTGATTTAGTTTTCTTCTTGTGTTGCCTTCAAATGTTTTAAATTGAAATAACACGTCAAGTGTAACAGGGTTTTTACCATAGCGGTCATGACAAGAATAAGAAAAAATTGATAAATAGATTAATTTTGTTTCAGTAAAGTAAAAAAGTACATAGATTTTGATTATTAATTTATACTACAATAACGTTAAGCAGTTGCTAAAATCAAGAAAATATCATATTCTGTACAGTAAATTACAGGAATTAAATATAATTATTTGTTTTGTTATGTAAAATTACGTGGATGGGTACATGTTAAACCTTACACAGCACGTGAAAGTGCAATAACAAGTGTTATTGCTCACAATTGGTTACGAGAGACATGCGAAAGTGGTGTTCGTAACGTTAACTTAGCATAGCGTATTTCCTTTTCGCGCCAAACCTACCAGTATAAACACCTCTACAAATTATTACTGCCTAACAGGACCTCACGTCATAATTTTTTTTAAATAGGCAAGAGACCAGGTAAACCGTATGGTTTACCTAAAAGCTTACCAACCACTAAAAGTGTAGGTCTCGTACTTAATTCACAGGAGAAACGCAACGGTATAGATGATTTAACTTCACAGTGGTCTTCCGTGAAGTATTGGTACATCCCCGGTCGATTGGAACTATTATTCTCCAGTAGTTATGTCACCTTTTGCTGCTCTAACATAGTCAATCGAGTTACATCTAACGGAGCAGACGTAGCAGCATGTCCGGTTCCATGTCTCTTTTTAGGGTTCTGTACCCAAAGGGTAAACAGAACCTATTTTTAAGACTCCGCTCTCTGTCTGTATGTCGTTCTGTCCGTCTGACACCAGGCTATATCTCATGAACCATGATAGTTAGACATTTGAAATTTTCACAGATGATGTATTTCTGTTGCCGCTATAACAACAAATGCTAAAAAACAGAATAAAAATATTGAAGTGCAGCTCCCATACAACAGACATTATATTTTTGCCGTTTGTATAGATGTGTACGGAAACCTACGTGCGCGAGTCCGGCTTGCACTTAGCCGGTTATTTAAATTTATTATAGTCACAACAATATCATACAAAAGTTTACAAATATGGTTGTGCGCTATATGGACTATGCCCTAACACCCTGTACACGGATGTAGTAAGCCATAGTCCACTAGGAGACCCAACCCGGAAGGTGGATTTCACATAACTTCGAAGTATTATTCGTTTCCTTACTATCATTTTGAAAATATACATATTTTACATCACAGCCGAGTACGTGATAAGTCAGCATTTTAAATGAAAATAGCATAATACTCGCCACTAACATGTAATAGCTATGTTGTGAGAGTATAACATTTGCGATATCGTGACATTTTTTGCAGCAATTATGAAAATATACTAGATGTCTCATTTAAAAGTGAATTAAAATAAAAATTCAAAGAGAACTTTAACTAATATTAAAAACTAATATTAAAACTATATCTAATAATGGGAAAAATTATGCAGTTTAATAAAAAAGGTATATTAGCTAAAAGATCTTCACCTGCACCTTCTTTTTATAATGTGTAAACTATCATTAAACTTGTCAGTTATATTAAATACTATTGCCTATATCATATTAGCTAGGGTAAAAAGTGTATTAAGCGCATTGTACATTCCCACAACAGGTGTCCTAGATTCGTTTTTAAGGCTGCGTGTAAAAGATTTTTGTAATCGGTATGTGTGGAACTTTGTGAGGAACAGCGAACGAAATGTTATATAGAATCATCATCATCCTCCTGCCCTCATCCCATCTAGGTGGGGTCGGCAAAAAATGCGAATCATGTCGTAAGCGGTTTTGGCTATGTTTTTTACGACCTGTCTGACGTCAACTGTCCTTGGGAAACATTATAAAGGAGAACATATAAGGGAAGTTTTATAAAGAATATGAGAACAATTTGTTCTATTGTAAATAATAAGAACGCATATGCATTATACTTCGAGTGCTAAGAGGATGCATATTAAAAAGAATCAACTCGCCTTATTGGACCGAGATATGCGTTTTGATGTAAAAGCTAAATGCCTTGTGTATTTGAGATTTGAATTGGCTATTGTAAAACGTGACACTAAAAATGAACTAAGCATAACGTAACCTATATACCAATGCATTTTATAATATGATACTGGTGTGTGGGTTTTCGAAACCCTTCGTGATCAGTAAGAATCCAATAATTGCGATGATTTTGTCATTCCATGGTCCATGTATCGACTAAAAGAGATTTATCTGTTTATCAGAACAATGGCGCTTCTTCTGATGTGTTATTTTATATACTACCAGCGAGTACGTCTGCGTAGAATAGGCTGAAGGCGTAACATTCAGACAGAAAGACACAAAAACATATGTACATAAAAATAGATACAGTGACAGTGCGTTATTCTGATGTATAACCTATATTGTTGAAAAGTTTCATTAAAACACATACAGTACTAATTGCGTGAAAGAGTAACAAACATCCATATATACAATCTTTCGCGTTAATAATATTAGTAGGGACTTTTTAAATGTTTTCATCACGTAAACATATGAAAATTTTCTGATTCTTTAAAATGAAAAGAAAATTAAAATGTATTACATACAGTCAGTTACGACCGAAACATAAATTTAATATAATCTACAAAAGGAATTGCTTTACCGTCACAGATAGTATAAATTTCGTGGTTTTAACGTAACAACTTTAAGCAGTAATATATATTCTTTGTTTAAATGCAACCTTGCGTGGATGGAGTAAAGGTGAATTTTGATCATTTTTCTGTTACTCGGTCCCCAGATCTGAAATGTTATTCAGGAGTCATTAAATATTGAATGTTTCATTTTAATGTCAGTCTGGGACAGAGATGATATATGAAAACATTAATCATTGAATATATTTCGTTTACGGTATATTCACTTAGTCGGCTTATTTGATTTCTTCTACTTTGTGAAATAAGTAAATCTTTTACTTCCTCGACGTTTTTAGAAATATTAATTAGTAATTATGTTATAAATATCTAGGCATAAAGAATCATTATCATTGTTAGTCTTATAATGATTTAAAATATTCTAAGAGTGTATAGAATATTTGAAAGAAATAATAATAAATAATAGACTTGAATAATCCACCCGAAACATAAGATGAAGCTCACTTGGCTTAGGCCCGTGATCTTGATCATACCGAAATATCTTAAATATTTTGAGATATACAACATGTATAAACAAAATAATAATAATAATGTATTTTATTTCTGCTCACAATACATTACAACAAGATACAATATCATAAGTCGGTACAGCTTCAGAAAAAAATTAATCAAGTAAGGTAAGAAAATTGAGTATTACGTACGTAACAGTTGTTCAACCCTATTTTTTATGTAAGAAGATGGCAATCGAGCTGGCGGTTCACCTGTTGTTAAGTGATAACCGCCGCCCATGGACATCTGCAACATCTGTGGGACTGCAAATGCGTTGCCACCTTTTATTACAATGGGCCCCGGTTACCTCACTCACCAGATGAAACGCAGAAGTATAACACTTCCACTTCACACTGGTGTCGTGGTACTTCTCTGTCTTGTATCTTGTATTAACTGATGTTTTTGCCTTCAGTCCCGAGACTATTAACGCTTCATCTGACGCAGAACCGGTGGGCTAGCCAGAGCCCACGGGTTTGGGCCCTCCGCTGTGGGTAGGGCCGCGCATGTGCTCATGCGTGCGTTTAATTATGGTGTGTCATCTAAGGGCCATCGAGGTTGCGGTTCGGACCGAAACCCCGATGGCCGTCGACTGTGCAATTAGCTAATCGGTGGCTGGGGGCGGTGAGAACCGCCCCGGAACGCGGGTGTACCTTGTGTACGCGTTGTGTTGGTCTCGCCGTGCTCGGAGGCGAGGGCGAACTAGTGTATTTGTTGTTGCACTAACTAACTGTTGGTGTAGTGTTATCTGGCGAGAGTATACTTCCCTGTCGGAATGTACAGACCTGCCCATTCATTCAACAACGAAGACTGCTGCTTAGGGCCAAGCTAAGGTATTTCTATGTTGTTGAATAATAACCGATAGTTTTTGGCATTATTTCAGAAGTGTTTTCATGAAGCCATATTAAGTTTCAGTGAATTTTTTTTGTTAATATTTAATTACCTGAAATTTCGACGATGCTCATTAAGACTGTTATTCTTTTTTTATTTTAGGCCAAGGTATTCTAACAATCGCCGGTTACACAAATGGTGGGAATCTCCCAGGCGTCTGAGTGTTTTTGAACATTAGCGCGCAAATTGTCTGTGGTGTAAAGCACAAGCGGGAAGTTTGTGTTGAAAGCCATAATGCACAGTTATTATTGCACGCTTAGAATATTTTTGATAGTCATGATTTGTACTTAGATATCTAAATGCAAAAAAAACCAGCTAAAATCGCCATTTAAAAAATATCGTAGGTATGTGGTTAAGCTCGCGCCTTAAGTGTTTGTTATTAATATTTTTATTAGTTTGCCAGTATTAAAGGACAACCTAAATTATTATTACGGGTATTAATTATGTGCAAACGTGGTAATTATTACTATATGTATTAGTATAAAGGGGTAGTACTACAAAATCGATGATAAATCAGATCATTAGTTAGATGACTGACGGTGACATGTTTACTGGTGGTTGAAATATACTTGTATAAAAAAATAAGATAACATAACTTTGATAACAAGACAACTTTGTTAGAAAAGTTTGATGTAAAAACGATTGAACCTAATTGTCTCTGCAATTCTTATTTAAAAATAATTGAAGATAGAAAGGCTCCCTTTTCAATATGCGTAAGCGCAGCATTCGTTTAGAAAAATTATTCAGTATTGGACAAGTAACATTAAACGTTAAGCATAATAATATTATACTTAGGAAATAAAAACTAAGGGAATTGGTTGTTTATTTTAAGAGTAAGATGCAATTTTGTTCAATTTGGCGCACCGACCAATTCCCCTACATTTCAAATTCATCATATTATGATCTATTATGATCATATTATTGTTTTTTATTTCCTAAGTATATATTCTCTATACCCAAGTAGGTGTAAATACTATAAAACAATTATTTGCCGTAGAGCGTCTTTCGCTGAATGATCGTGTGTTTTTGATTATCAATATAAAATATACAGCACCACAAAATTTGTACAGATACATTAAAGTAAAATGAAAATAATGTTATTAAAGTAAATGACATGTTAACACAATAATACCATGAATGAATCATAAGATTAATATTGTTTCTTTATATCCAGTTATGGGGAAAACCTGAAGCTTGAGATGGCAAAACTGAGTCACAAAGTTCAACTTATTATCTATTTAGTAGGAATTTAGTTTGAAACTTTTAAAAATTCAAACGGTGAAACGCTCGACTTGAAACTCCGCCTCGACGTTGCGGGATCAATGTGCGTTGGAAAAACTAACGTGCTCCAAATCGGAAATATTAACCGACAATGGCGTGTGAGTTTCAACGCGAAATTTATTTTACTCTAATGAACACCAACAAGAAATAACGAAAGGACTTTTGTTTTTTTTGCAACACGTTTCCATTTGCTAAAACTTAATATTTCAATATGCGTGTATGTACGCAAGGTATTTTGCAATGTGTGTTTATATGTTTTTGAAAGTAACGAAAATCTTGCATTAATTTCCTGATAATGGCTGCTTATAACAATAAAAATACCGTAGAGCTGGACATTTTCGCACAGTGCGATATCGATGATGTTGTATGGTAGGACCACGCAACCGTGTTCGCTGTTGCACGAATGGGCAGGTCCGTCAGGGTTAGTAGCACGACCTCACAGAAGACCGGCGTAAAGTAGAAGTGTTACACTTCTGCGTTTTGTCTGATGAGTGAGGTAGCCGGGGCCCACATTATTAAAATGTGGCAACACATCTGCAGCCGGTGTTGCAAATGTCCGTGCGCGGCGGTTATCACTTAACATCAGGTGAACCGCCAGCTCGTTGCCACTCTTTCACTTCAAAAAAAATCGACCGCTTAGTGTAATGGCTAGTCCGGACGGATTATCCGCCCGCCGGACGGATAATCCGGAAGACGCAAATTTTAATCCAGGCTGCATCGAAAATCTTCATATATAAACAATCATCGTAAGTGCAGAAACTAGCTCTAAAAATAAAATTCACTTTCAATGACATTACTTTAAAATTTCGATGACCCGGTGGCACCGTGTGTGACCCACAGATAATAGTTCCATACCTGGGTGTTTGTTTCCCACGGAGGTTTTACGTCGGGCAGGCGACCGGTCGTAAAAACATAGCTAAAACCGCTTACAACATGATTCACGCGTTGTGCGGACCCCATCTAGGTGAGATAAGGGCAGGAGAATGATGATGACGATTATTTTTAAATTTCGTCGACGGATGCAGGTCAGGAACATGCTTCGAGGCAGTCTGTTGGAGGCCTAAATAGGATTCGAAATCTATCGAAAAGAAAAGATATTAATATTCGTGCAAAATCATTTTTTAAACGTACGCTAAGGTGAAGGGCTTTACAGCTTTACGGTGGTAGGGCCCCGCAGCAGCCTCGTCTGTTGCATGAATGGGCAGGCCCGTCCGGGTAAGTACCACGACCTCACAGAAGACCAGCCTAAAGTGGAACAAATACTTTCGCGTTTCGTCTGGTGAATGAGGTGAGGTAGCCGGAGCCCAATTTTCAAAAGGTTGTCAACGCATCTGTAACATTCGGGTGTGGCAGATGTCCATGGGCGGCGGTATTCACTTAACATCAGGTGAACCGTCTGCTTGTTTGACAACTTTTCGCATAAAAAAAAACGCTATACTTTGAATGAAAAGACGAGTGGTGCATTATTTATTTTTACTACATTATCCGCTAATCTCCCACTGCTGTTAATAGTTCACATAAATATTCCGCTTAAATTTCATTAATTAGGAAAGCGTGTAGCAATCAATATAATGAAAAACTCGATTGCCATCACTAACCCTTAATTTCAAAAATTGTTTTTATATGATCTTCATCTTCCGTCATGGTTATTATTTTCGTTATAGCGTTGCGTAAATTAGCGGTGACACAAGATTGCGGGGTTGTACTGACGCCCTTTTATTAAGATACTATTACCTATTATTTATTTTCGTGGTTTGTGGCTTCGATGTATTTTATTACATCATATCAAGAAATACCCAACACTTACCTGACAGACGATTTTTTTACAGCTTTTGATAAACAAATATGCAAACAAAGAAGAAGTAAGAATTTGGCAACACTAAGTTACGTGAATACAATAGGTGGATCGATGCCGAGATGATCTGCTTTTACTATCAGGTCGATCTCGTAAACCGAAATCGATTGACCTCTGTACATGAAATAACAAGGTCCGGTATGACCTTGCGATGCGCTATAACGCTAACATTTAGAAAGGAGGGAACGGACGTGGACCTTGGACCTCGCATGGGTCAGCTCGCTCCCAAAACTAGGGCGTTTTGAAAGTCGTCGGATAATATCAAAACAAATGTAAATGCTAGCTGCGCCTATATCAGTACATGCGGAATGCAAAGATTTCCATGTAAGTATCGTTTCGGTCCGCCGTGATTGACCATTTCGATTGCGTATTAATGTGCAAATGGCCGTCGAGATTGTAGAATATATCGCGGTTCTATGGGAAACTGTTTACATTAAACTAAACACGGAATTCCAGAACATTCTAGTCAGCATAACTTTAGCTAACTTTGACTAAATAGTGAATATTCGAATAGTTGTTATGTAGACACACATCTACGCTGCAATCTGTGTATTAGTATTAATACTTTTTTAAGATTTACTTTACCTTCACAAATAAAATGTAATAATAGCTAAGAATGTTTATAGTAACATATATAATAGAAGGTTCAATACTCCAAATAACAATCAACAAAGATACTCGCCTGTCAAAATTATGAAGCTAGGGTGTATACGTGACATAATAAACATCCTGACTGCCATACCTTCGTCAATCACAGACCATTTTCACCTATGAAACAAATTGGAATAATTTATGCCTTCACGGGACGAGGACGGAACGATCGAATCGCTATATTTGTGTCTTATTAACTTTAAAACTTACCTTCCGCCGTAGTTATTACGAACAATATTAAAAAATAGAGTTTTTGAAAAAAAAAAAGATGCTTTACGAACTTTTTGTTTTGTATTTTTTGCTTTTT